ATTTTAGGCAGCTTCTTTCTATTTTTCTAAAAAAGAAAATTTACTAAAAAGTTCCAATATATCCAATTTTGAGGTTGGCTAGAGCGGATGTGCTCCTCACTTTACACCCAAGTACGAATCATCCTTCTTGTAATTAAGATTAATTAAAGTAAATTATTGCATGTATAAAAATAAAATTAAAAAAACCTTCTATAAAAAAATATATATAGAAAAAAGAAAATCTTTTTGGGAAAAGCAAAAGAGTAAAATCTTCCCTCTTTGGTTTTTTATGGTCAAAATAAATTATTATGAAATCATTTAACAACTGGTTAAATATAACCTAAAAAAACCTATCTACTTTCACCACTTTTATTATTATTTATTTTAAAGTATTGGCTAACTGACTAACTAGCTATAGCTATGGTAGATTTATTGATTTGATTTTCATCTAGGTAATACAATATTCAAGCTACGGTACATATATTATATATATATATATATATATATATATATATCTCCAGGCTATATGATGAAAAGACCATGCACCTAATTAAGAGAAGCTTGCACGCAATATATATATATATATATTAATTTCTAAGTGTATCTGATGACAGATGTCATAAGACTGAGAACACACATAATGTGTTACGAAAGGTAGCCTGTGAGTTATGGGTGGTGCTAGAGACACCAACTCTCTAATAGAGGTGGAGCCCGTCAATACACGGGGCCCACGCTCTATTAGAGAGTTGGTGCCTAAAGTTAGTGCCTCTAGCATTTTCCGTGAGTTATAACCCCTTTGTTTTGTCGGCGAAGGCCATCTATAGTAATAGTGCACCTGGTGTAACAGGTTTCCTACTTCTTTCTTTTCCCTTTTTTTTTCTTTTGCTTTTTGAGTTATAATTAATCTTTTAATTGCTAAAAGATATTCTAAAATATTCTATAAAATCTCAAACATCTAAATTGTTCTTTCATTTTGTTATTTCTCTACCCATTACCCTAGTCATGAACACTAGAGGCAATCCCTTTACCTGCACTCAAAACTCCTGCTTTGTCAAAGCTATCTTATTGGGATAAATATTTTCAAACTACCATGTACATTAATAAATTTTAATTTGAAGAGTTTAATTTGCTACTATTATTAGGAGGAGGAGGGAGGAAACTCACACACAGGTACCATAGAGACTTGAATCTAGGATTACTTGGGAGCACACCAAAAGCATGAGCCAATCCAACTAACACCTTATTGATATGTAATGTTGATTAATTCACAATGGATATCTATATATGTAGAGGCTTCTCTTCTAATTGCGTGTATATTATAATATTGATTCTTAGAGTGCAATTATCATTAGACATGAATTCATATTAAACAAGAATAGTTCTCATTTTAGGTAAACATTTAGAATTTTTTGATAAAAATGTGATAGCATTTTATTAGATGAATAAGGAAAAAGAGTACAAAAGACACATACTATAAAAGGAGAGATTTTCTATTTAAACCTCACACTTCTCTTAATTCACCCCAATTCTTAAATCATAAAGTTGTAAGTTTTATTATTGTGTAAAAAGACAAAAAAGGTCATCCAACTTATTACTTAAACCTAGTACATCTATACACACACCCCACCACTCTTCATATTAAGTTTTAGAAAAATACAAACTCCTCTACATCGTATTGTCAAAGACGTAGAACATTGACGATCATGCTCTTTAAAATCTGCGTGGGAGCTGATAGAAAGACTTGTTGATAATGATCTTATTCTCTTCAATTTGTTGATTGCTTTTGTTTTGTTTTTTTTTATACATGATGTTTTGGTAAAGTTGTTCTCTTTCTCTAGAAAGTATTAAATTTTGGATTTGGGTTTCCATTTGTTTGTGTTTTTTTGTGTGCTTGGAACAGTAATATTATTGTCACTTTGGAATTCCAGTATGCATCTAAAATCATAATCATGCTGCTGCTGCTTCAATAGTTGGGTTATTTTTGTTGTTGCTTTTCCACTATGATAAAAGCTTCAATGTACTCTCCATGAAGGTCGATCAGATGGCCTACTCCTAGTGCAAAGTGTAGCAATCTCAAGTACTAGTTTTATCTCCTCTCGCACGGAACGCCAATGAAAATTGAATACCTCATTGTCATTATTAAATACTCAAGAGAGAAAATGATAAAATGTCTAGCAATTAGCATTAGAGCTTGCAGAACGTACTTCCTCCGCTAAGTGTAGCTTGTGGGGTTTAAATAGAAAATTTCTTTTATTTCTTAGTTTTTCAGCTTGGGGTGTATTTAAGGGTAGTTTGGGAAGATAGTGGGGTTTTCTTAGAAATTGTGAAAATTTAAATTAAAAGTTGGGGTGAACTAAAAGAAGTGTGGAGTTTAAATAGAAAATATCTAAAAGGAGCCATCTCAATAGCAATATGATAGATATGGGTAAAAATTTCCCAGTGACTTAAGTTAGCTAAAAAGCTGAAACTGTATAGAGAGAATCACTCTCAAAAATAACTTTTCTATAACCCCATTCTACCGATATAGTTTCCCCAAATCTAGTCTAATGATATCAAGGACAAAACTAGCCGCTAATCGACATGACTCTCCTAAAGAGACTAAGAACAACCAATAAACTCAACTAAGTTTCTGGATTTTATTGACCGAAAAAGACCAATATTCTAAAACAACGTCGATAATCTTCATCTAGGACATGACATAGAGTGCGCCACCGAATTGCTCCAACATGCCATTCAACAATCACGACTAAGCAACAACATCTCAAAGAGTATAGATATGCCAAAGAAAGATCATATCGTCATAGATCAACTAGAAGTCAAAGAACCCCCCGTATCTGAAGCGCTCACTCTCTTAGTTGGCTAGGGGTTTTTGGGTAAACATATAGAATTTTGATATACAATATGTATCAAACTAACAAACAAAAGTCGTTAAAAAAACAAACAAACAAAATTATTAGTAAAAGTCGTACACAATACGGAAACCCATGTATATATAATTGGTGCTCAATGAGTTTGGATGGAAAGGGAATAAGTTGTCTAAGTGGGGTTTGGACAGTTCTCCCTGTCTTGAAAGGGAAGTTGCCCTTTGAGCATGTGAAGTGCAATTAAGCAGCAAACATCCGTGTGGGTGGTCATGGCAGATATATACCAACTAATAAATTGGCCTTTGTTGGAGGTTAGTTAATAATAATTACAAATACCTTTAGTGTCTAATTCCTAATTATATCAGAAGGGGACGTGCAAGAAAGAAGAGCGTGGACCATTGTCTATATGAACATTTGTAGTGGAATTGAAAAGGAAATGACCACCACATTATTATTTGACAGGAACTAGGTACCCTTGCAGGCCAGAGCCAATGCATTAAATTGAAAGCAAGCTAGCTTTTTATTAATGGATTTTGTACATGGCACACTAGCTACCTCTGAACCATTCACACCCATCGTGAGCACATATCCTTATCTTCTTCGTACGAATATATCTAATCACATTGTCCTTGAAACAACATTAAAAACCAAACCCCCTTGAGGGTTTAAATCTAAGGTTTTCATGTCTTTTGGCCACCATGCCTAGTCGTCATGCCCCTATCGTCTTCCTACAGCTAGCTGTGAATGGCTGTGAACGGCTGTGGCCCCTGGATGCAGGGTGTACAGTACAGAGAGAGAGAGGGAGCAAAATGTTGTACCAATAACAAAGTAGGCCTAAAAAAAAATATCTCACTTCAAGTAAGGAGGTATGATTTGAAGTGAGACTTTTTCAACTTCGAAAAAAGAAGTATCATTAGACTAAAAATTAACGTTACGGGTTTAGAATTAGTATGAATTCACATTAGTGCTTGCCTAGTTTCCTAACACTTTGCTATATATGTCGTACTAATGCAACACAAAGAAACACTCGAAACGACACGAAACTATTGTTTTTCATTGATCCTCGCCTCCTCTCTATAATCACTCTTCCAGACTTTCTTATGTGAAAGCGATACTAATATCTCATTTCACTAAAGCTGGTCAAAGACAAAAGCATGTGCAGAAAAGCTAGCATATATCTATACATTTTGAATTTGCACATGCACAGCTTACAGCCACCACAAAAAATTTAACTCACGGCCTTCGGAAAACCTAAAGACTCTTTTTTACTTTCCAAGCCAAAAAGGATTTGATCCCTTGCATACGCCTGAACTTTTTTGTTGATAATTGATCATAACGAAATAGGGCCCCCTACAATTCGAATTAGACGCACGTACATGGGGGAGGAGCCAGGAGGTGCATGTAAGTGTAACTGTGTAACCACCAGCAGCTTACCCAAAAAAGAAAAGAAAAAAGTAGCTTAGCTTACCCAGCTACTGTTAATTACCTGATCACTTTTCAAATTCCATAGGAGCAGGTGATGATGCCTAGCCTAGCCCTAGTTAGCCCTAGATAACCCTAGTTAATTATTTGTATTCTCTTTGTTTTTTTTCTGAAGATGAATTAATTATAAGTTATAACGGGTCTAAAAGTTGAAGGGGTTGTCAAATTCCCCATCAGTCCCCGGTTTTGTTATGGTGTATGTCCCAAACTAAGTGGCACAAACCCACACATCGTGCGCTTTCCATGTCCAGTTATCCATTAGCCCCCACTATTGATATCTCTCTGCACACTCACTGTACGTTCAAGACTTTGCCCTGGGGATAACCATTCTACCCAAGAAATAGTTGACTGGAAAAAAACAAAGAGAAAAGAACCAAAAACTCATCCATCACCTGTCTCCAACACACTAATATTATTGCGTTTGGGTTTTTATCAATTCATCATCATCTCTCGGTCTCACTCACTCATAATATTTCATCCCCTTCTTTTTCCGAGCACGCAGGGATGCATATATATGAAGTTGCAGAGAGAGAGAGAGAGAGGGAGAGAGAGATCAGTGGCTCTGTCTGAAAAGGTAAAGTTTTGAGGAAGATATAAATGGGTATGAAGAATCTCTCTTAACAAAGATATATGTTGTACAAGAAGGAGCTGTCAATTGATTTTCAAACCAAAATCATGTTTTCATCTTGCAGTAGCAATATTAATAGTACTTCTGTAAGTCCTTTTCAACCTTACTTTCCCTTGTCTTCTTCAAATTACCACCCTCCTCCTCCTCCTCCTCCTCCTCCTTTTCCTTGTGTGAACCAAGAGGCTTGTAGTGGAGACATTTTCCTTCACCACAATATTCAAGGGTACCCCATCTCTGGTCAATTTCCACTTCATAACAATGCCTTAATGGCACCTCCTCTTCCTCAAAGCTTGACCCATTTGGGAGTTTCATCAAACACTGTACCTCCTAGCATAAACGCTGATGATCATCATCCCTACCATAATTACTATGGTGCCATTAACAATGATAATATTTTTCCTCATTTCCTTCATTCTTCTAGAGAAGATATAGTAGCGCCGCCGATGAAGAAAGATCGGCACAGCAAGATCTTCACTGCTCAGGGCTTGAGGGACCGGAGGGTTAGACTGTCCATCAATGTTGCCCGTCAATTCTTTGACCTCCAAGACCTGTTAGGGTTTGACAAGGCAAGTAAAACCCTAGAATGGCTTCTCACCAAGTCAAGAAGGGCCATCAAACAGCTTGGGACTCGGAACAAACACTTGACCTGCAGTACTAGTACTGGGCGTTCCAAGAGTTTGACTTCGAGTTCAGAGTGTGATGACGATGACGTCGATTCAGACACAAACGAGGTGGAAACGTAGCAAGCAAAGAAAAAGAGGTGATGTTGATGATGAAGAAAAAGATGAAAGAATCTGAATCTGCTAATGTTTATGGCATGAAAGACTCGAGGGCAAAGGCAAGAGCAAGGGCAAGGGAAAGGACAAGAGAGAAATTAATGTGCACTGGGAGCAGGCCTCGGATGTTGAACCAATTGAAGTTATTCAATGAGCTTGATCACCATCAATCTAACAATAATTGTAAAACAATGTCATCATCTTCAGCAAAGGCCAATATTGGAGATCATCCTGAGAATCAGGAACTGGGCTCCCTCCTAGCTAATCAATTAGCTCATCATCATGAGGACGATCCATCTGTTCATGTCATCAAAAGAAACAAGTTGAAGCAGTATTCATCAGTTTATTCCAATTATAATCAGCAAAAGTATCTCAATGTGGTGTCAGCAGAAAATACAGATCAGAGTTCCAACAGCCACATCCAATTTCCCAATGCATTTCAAAATTGGGACACCAACGGCGCCTTCCCATGCCCTAACATTCATTGTGCCATTACCAGCATCAATCTTTCTACCGGTATATATCTTTATATTGTCCAAAAACATAAACCCTTTTGCTCTTTTTGTTCCTGATTTCAGATTTAATAATCATGATCTCAAATCTGTAGGAAATTAAATCTATGGCAAAACTTGGGGGGCAATTTGTTGCGAATTTATCATCGACTACATTGAATTATCGTCCAGATTCTTAACATTGGAGTGTAAGCTATATTTCTGTTCATGTATTTCTTTGTATGCTCATTATCTATAGATCTATATTGAGCCACCTGATCCACTGTGTTTTACAGTTGGCCAGGAGTTACAAGAATGTTCGAATTGAAGATGGTTTTCCTTAACAATGCATGAGTAGTACTACTACTGGATCAAAGTTATATATACCACTTCAATTATGCATTCACTTATCAAAACCACAAATGATGATCAGCATTTTTCACTTCTAATGGTAACATATTTTTCTGTTAAATTCATTGGCTTGGCTAACTTAGCCAGATACAACATATATATATATATATATACATACATATATAGGACACATATACAACATATATATACATAGCCAGATACAACATGTATATACATATATAGGACACAATTTAAGCAGGGATATGTATATATGCTACATACAAAACAATCAGAACTCACTAGTAGGTCTGTCTTTCTGTCCAAGGGGAGATGTATACACACACACATCCATTGATCAAAGGCTTTCTTAAACCATTAAGAAGCTGAGAAATTCAAGTTCATTCAAATTTCGTTTTTGGATCAGGAAAGGACTAATGTCTTACCAGTTGTTTAAATTTGGAAAGGTTACTGATTTAATTTCCTTCTTCCTAGCTTCGTTATGTTACAGTATTCCAAGTTCTAGGTAAGTGAAAGGTTGTCCTATATAACATTGTGACGCTGTGATGAGTTTATTAGAAAGTCTAGATCTCCATCAGAGGATGAGTTTATCATAAATGTGGGGAGATTCTTCAATAAGTATTTTTTGTTAATGATTGATTACATATTTCTAATCTTGGCCGTTGAATTGCAATCATTAAATGTGTTGATAGATTAAAAGTATGTAACCAATCCTTGACTTAAATACTTAGTGGAGAATCTCCCCATAAATGTGATCGATCATATGACTTCTATCGATCGTTTCATAAGTTGATCAAGATGCCTTAGACTGATATATGTCATACCATAAGGAGGAGATAAAACTAAGTGGGATAAGCCTGGAAATATGACTAAATATATATGCGCTTCTGCTAATGTGTGAACAGAAAGAGTCATCAAAGATAATGGTAAACCGTATGAGTTTCACTGACACTCAGAAGTTGAGATTTGTAACAAGAAGAGTATCAACATGTGTCCGGTAGACAGAGATAATTGAAATCTTTTAATGCAACTGCCCTACCCTAGCTTTCCCCATGGCCTCCTGCCCCAATTTACTCAACTTTTGTTCTACCTACCCCCAGAATTTTTAATAAGTATGTCCTTATTTAATTTTTTTAGAGTCTACAGAGAGAGACTACCTACCCCCAGAATTTTTAAGAAGTATGTCCTTATTTAATTTTTTTAGAGTCTACAGAGAGAGAGAGAGAGAGAGAGCAAGAAAAGAGGGTCGGTCTCGAGCAAATCTTTGCAAGTCATTTGAAAGAAAATGGATTGACGAAGCACTTGGAATTTTGTTTCAAAGAGAAGATATGAAGAAAAAATGAAGGACACTTCCAGAACAATAAAAGTTAGAACAGTCAATTCTGATTTCAAAGCCACATCAAACTTTGAAACTTTAACAGACATAGGAAATGTACATTAAATTGGAGTCAAATTACGTCACCTGCAGATTGGAGAAGACTTGCATGGTCATGATTATTACCTCTCAAGTAGTAAATGAGCTGTTGGGTCGAGACAACAGAAGATGAAGTTCAAATCTTTTTATCATTGTGAAGGGGAAAAAAAAAAAAAAAAAAAAAAAAAAAAAAAAAAAAAACAACATGCAAGAACTGGATCATCAATTAAAACAATAACAGAGAGATCTAGATTTGGAGACTTTCCAGGCTCGGAAAGTGTATAAAATGATTCAAGTTATGAAACTGAAGCTGACAACAGCATGCACCTTATAGAAAAAGGAAGAAAGAAACAGATGGATAAATTAAAAAAAGGAGCCTCATGTTGCATAAACAGCCTTTGGGGAGAGAGAGAGAGAGAGAGAGTGCAAACATACATACCCACGGTGAAGTTGAAGAGCTACCTGTAACAGTGGAAGTGACGGCGGTGATGTTAACTTCTTCTCTTTCTCTCTTTCTTCTATATTTGTTCATTAAATTTGTGCAGTGAGATATTTGTGTGCACTGTGAGAATAAAGAGGATCTTTACTTTCTACTTACAGACTGACGGAAGGTGTGGCTTATATTGGCCATGGCATGACGTATAATATAGATACTGTACTGGTAATTTTCTATACGTATATAATACTGGAGACTGAGAGCTCCAGATAGTGACTGACTACTTGTACCTAATTATATAAAATATGGTGTACCAAATGGATGAACAGTGACTGATTTGTGTATTAATATTAATATAATTGCCGACTTTGTCAGGGAGGACATACCCCATATCCAATATAATACCCAACAGAATCTACTTCTTTTTAATTCCCCAAATGCCTAAAACAAGAAATAAAATTATTTAATACAATATTCAAGTATGGTGCCCTAGTACCTCTATACCTATTCTGTATATAGATAGAGATTGGCATAGGTCAGTCCTGAGTAATTTTCTTTATGCATGCATCAATAATAAGGATTGGGGAACCACACCCACCACCCAGAAGCTTTCAGTTTCATTTTGATCATGCCTCAATAATTATTGATGGCTGGGAATTATTTTCGTCCATCATGATAGCCCCTTATCATTTTCAAATCTTGCCTCTGTATTGTCAATGGGATCTAGTCCGGTGAAAAAAGAGCTTTGATTTATAAACTAGTGGTCTCAGATCCCATAATACCTTGACAGTGTGTGAGAAAACCCTCTCCCATAATCAGTGATGTACCCATGAATCTTAGCGACGGTAGCACTACTGGTGGCGACGACAATGGAGGAGATTGGGTTATGGAAACTGTTTATATTTTTATTTTTAAGAGACCTTTGTTTTGGCCAGGTCTTTGAAAAAAAAATTCATTGAGCCAAAATGACGTTGTTTTGGCCAGCTCGTTTGGGCTTCTTCCTTGCACAGGAACCCTTTCTTCAGGCCAAATATCAAACAGGTGGAGGGAATTTCATGGGGTCGCACAGTAAGCTCAAGAGGACTTTCAAGCTTATTTCCATAGAGTCCATAGGGTCATTTGACCCCATTGTCCCTGCCCATAATACCACATGTATGAAAAAAAATAATATCATGTCTTCACTGTATTACCATAGAAAACTATTGTTGGAACTTCAAAAAAGTTATCATACACTCCTCTATGAATTCAAGAAATGAATGCATGATGGCTTTATCGAAGTCACCATAAAAACTTCCTTATTTTGCCACTAATGAGAAATTTATAATAAATCTCATTTCTTGCATTGAATTTATATATAAACCCTAAAACTTATAAATTGAAGAAGAAAAAAAACCCAAAAAAGGCTAGCTGTAAATTTTTTTTATGTGTGAAATACCATCATTATCCTTACATTATGATTTTTAGAAAGAAAAAAACCACTCATGGGATTGTTGTAATTTTTAGGTTTTTCAAGGGTTGTATGGTATATTTAGCCCATTTGAAAAGTTATATGGTTTTTTTTTCCTTCTAAGATTTGGATATTGTAGAATTTTTCTATATTTTAGGCTCTATTTATAGGCTTACATGTGAAAAACCCTTTATTCGATAAATTTTCATATATATATATATATATATGCATCCCCCATTTTGTTCAATCTAGGTCCAAAATTTCCCCAAAGTCCCCCTCATTATATAGGAAATATTTTTACTCACAACTTTAACTTAAGACGCATGCTCATCACCTTACTTAATACTTGACACGTGTCCATATAATTATAGTTTACTTTTTATTGGTCTCAATTGATATTATTCGCGCATTGCACTTAGTATTTTTCAAGAATAATACACATATAAAAAAAATATTTTGTAGTAATACACTTATGCAAATATAAAAAGTCAAAAGTAAAATACAAACCGAATTTTTCACCCTATGACTTTAAGAAGAGTTTCAAAATATTAAGACCAATCCCATATTTTACTGACTATGGTAATTACACAAGGGCCTTCATAAGAACAAGGGCTAGTACCGAAACCTAGCCCAAACAAGCAATCACGAGCAAGTTTTAAGTCCAACCGAATCAGAATGGGCCCTGTTCTAGCCCAAATAGGCTCGTTGCTAAAACCCAATTGGCCCAACAAAAATAATTAATAAAGAAAAAAGAATTAAAGCTAAGAGCGAAAGAAAAAGGGGAAAAGACTCTCTTTCTCCTATTTATAATTTGTAGCGAAAGTCTGTAGACTCTATACAATACAATACACATTGCTTGCTGAGAAAGAAGAACAAGGAGGAGGAGAAGAGAAAGGAAAAATGGAGGCACCGAAGACAATAGAGCACCAAATCGGAGGAGTCCAAAACGATGCGCTTCGATTTGGACTTCAAGGCGTCAAGAGCGACCTCGTTGGCTCTCACCCTCTCGAATCTGCTTACGAATCGGTATTTCCTCTCTCTTTCTTGGGGTTTTGTTGCAGCTTGTTTAGTTTTGAAGATATGTGGTCAATTTTGGAGATTTGTGTTTAATTATTCGTTGGGTTTAGGCAAAGATGAAGCAGGAGCAGATTAATAGGAAAGTCTTGGGATACACTTATGGAAGTGCGTTTCCACTGAAGATGGATCTCGAAAGGCAAATCCTTTCTCGGTATGAAATTCTGACTGCTGTTATGAATTGTTGTAATGGATTACTCTAAATTGTTATGATTTACAGTAGAAGAAAATGTGTGTGCTATGTTGGCAAGTTGGGTTTAAAAAAAATATATATAATACCATGGTTTCTAACGCCCAGTTATGCTAAAACCCAGTTGAATTAATAGTTTTTTTGGGGGTCCTTTGTGTGATTATTGGTTGTTGGTTATGTATAAGGGTTCTTGAGTAAGAAATTTTTTCCTTAGAAGTTTGTTAGTGTTTTTGTTTTTGTAGGTGGTACTCTCTTTATACAGTTTGTGTGATTATAGGTTGTTGGTTATTTATAACGGTTGTTGAGTAGGAAAGTTTTGCTTTAGAAATTGGTTATCGGTTGTCTTTGTAGGTGTTACTCTCGTTATACAGATTGTGCTCTTAGGTAGTGCCCTGTCTGCATCTTTATATCTCACTAATCAGCTGAAAATTTAATTCTATTAGGGATGAGCCGACAATTTCCATCTCTGCATTTAACATATCTGTTTTATTGAGGTGAATTTGAACTGGATGAATGATGTCATTACCATGCTCGATAGCATTCAAGCTATACCATATGGATAAGGAAATCACCTACTCGTTATAAGTTTGGGGTGTTTTTTTATATTCATTGTGATTACTTAGTTTTATCGTATATCCATACTGAATATGAGTCAAAGATCTTATAGAATCGTTTGATTTGAAGTTTAAGTTTGTTCTGAAGTCCATATACTGCAAACATTTCTGGAGGCCATAGCATCAATCAAATCTTTGTTTGTGTTACACGCAGTAATGCACCATCAAACACTGAGTGTTTATTTACTTCTACTTCAATAAATGTATTAACTCGGAGTTGCATTTGAGCCTTCGTTTTGTATGTATTTCTTTGAACAATTACAGATTTCAGAGGCCTGCTGGAGCAATTCCTTCATCAATGCTGGGTTTGGAGGCTATGACTGGAAGGTTGGATGATTTTGGCTTTGAGGATTACCTGAATGGTAAGAAAACACTCTTCATAAATGGTATTAGTTTTGTAAGTTCTAACTGTTCAGTGTTATCTCTTTGAAAAGTTTGTTTAAATTCGTCTAATGTTTTCATCAGTTGGAGTCTTAACAATTAGGGATCAGTAAGTAATAAATTGAAAATTTTTCTTGAGTAAAAAATGTCAAATTTCTGCCCTAAACTAGTGAATCTTTTTATCCCTAGGACTGGATTATGTGGTTTTAATTTCGTACTGCCCTAGTCTGATTTCCCCAGAGTTCAGTTGGTAGACATACGTTTTGAATTTTCATTTTAGGGTATACATATAAAAGCTAGATTCTAAGAAGGGGTATGCATATAGAATCCAAGAATCTTGGACCAAGATTATAAGAAGGTTAAATCTTCTTAATAAAATATGGGACGGGAGCACTTCAGTTTATTGCAAATTTCTTTAGCCAATCACATTTTCTTGAACAATGCCTAAGAGAAGTTTCGTGCTTCGCTGTTTTGCCCCATTAACCTGTTGGTTGTGTTGGTTTTTATATGTTTCATTGTGCCAATTGCAGACCCTCGTGAATCTGAAACCCTCCGGCCTGTAGACACACATCATGCAATGGAAGTTCGCCTCGGGCTGTCAAAGGGTCCAGTCGCCCCAAGTTTTATGTGATCCTAGTACGTCATTGCCGAAAGAAGAGGGATTAGTAACCTTGTGATTGTTATTCATGGATTTATACTTCTGTGTCAATGTTGTTTTTAAGATGTGATTGGCAGTCACCCTGTGAGTTCAAAATCTAGTTCATGGATATGTGGTGTTACAGATACTTTGTAGTAGTCTTGGGTATCATTATCTAATTACATTCTCGTATTTGATATTTCGATTTTATTTTGAAAATTTAGCTTGATATCTTGATCTCTTGTGTAGCCTGTGTTCTTAAATGAGGTAGTTTGCTTATGGGTACAGTATCAGCACTGAAAATTTTAGGCTAATTTTGGATTCACTTTGTTGTTGGAAACAAGCTTTCTTCACATTTACACAATGTAAAACTTGGTTAATATAAACAGTATAATTTTTTTTAAAAATAAAAGTATAGTTTAAATTATACAAGGAGGGAATTCAAACCTGTGTAAGGGACTAACTCATTGTCATGATGAACGGGTCTAACCCAGGTTTGCAAAAGTATTTTTCTTTTTAGATAAATGTGATCATGTACATAAAACATGCAATCATCAAATGATTAAAATCATATTCCAAAATTTTGAAAGAAAAAATGTAGCGGGTATCTTTGATGGGTCATTAAAAAAAAAATTCAAACATAACTGCGTATAGCCGTGCGGCTATACTTTTATATATAAAAAAAGATGGCCCTCTTCGCGGTCAGGGTCGCGAGTCAAAATAAGTATAGCCGCGCGGCTATGCTCTCGTGTCAAAATAGTACAGCCGCTCGGCTATACAATTTTTAAAAAATCACAAAAAGCCGAGTATAGCCGCGCGGCTATACGATTTATAAAAAAAGATGACCCTCCTTGCAATTAGTGCCACGTGTTAAAATCAAGTATAGCGGCTCAGCTATAACCCCTTTTTAAAAAAGTAAAAAAAATATAGTATATCCGCTCGACGATACTATTTTATTAAAAACATTAATATATGAGGAGAGAATTCAAACTTGTGTAAGAGACTAACTTATTGTCACGATGAACGGGTCTAATCCATGTCTGCAAAAGTATTTTCCTTTTTAGATGAATGTGATCATGTACATAAAACATTTAGGCAATCATCAAATGATTAAAATCATATTCCAAAATTTTGAAAGAACGAATCTAGTGGGTATCTTTCATGGGTCATCGTTAATGGCCCTGTGTCTAGTTCCTAATGGCAGAAGCAACCACAATTGTTGTTCGTACTTTCATAATGATAATATATAAAAAATATAAAAATCTGAAAATGAAAGGGAAATTGGCACTCTTCTTCTACTCTTTTTTAAAAACGTGGGTCTCTCTCTCTCTCTGCATTCTGCATTTTTGTGCTGCTTTTTGCTGTCTTCTCACCTCAAAACAAACCCCCCTGCTTTTCTCTCCACACCCCAAAAACCCACTCTCCATACCCCCAAAACCCTCGGTCCAGACTGAAAATTCTCAAATGGACACTCGCCGACCTCCGCGCACGGTCAGCGACCCGAAGGTTCGACAAGTGGGGTTCTTCTCCTCGCCCGAGCCAATCGCCGCCTCCTCTCCTCCGGTCTCTCACATCTCCCCCTCCGGTAACTCCCTCTCTCCGGTTATGATCCCCCCGCCACGTCACTCCGACGCTCCCCGTCCGGTTCCCTTCCCTGCGGTTCCCGCCTCTCCGGTCCGCCGAGACTCTATACCCGCCGGGAGTTACAACAACTCTTCTGATTTCTTCCCCGCCTCGCCTCCTATGGCGTCGTCCTCGTACGGAATGGTGATGGGCAGTGGTGAGTTCCTGAACGACGTCGTTATGTCGCCGGGTCGAGCACTCAGGGGCAATTCGGTAAGAGCGGCTGCGGGCATAACGACGTCGTCTTCGTTTCCTGGCGGAGGCTTCGATCTGACGGCTGCCGTGAAGGCGAGTAGTGTTCCCGCGAGTGGCTTAACGACGGTCTCCGTGGTCAAGATGCCCATTGCTGGTATTTCTGGTAATTTTCCTATTACCATTTGTTTTGATTTCACCAGAAATGTAATTTAATTTAGTTTTATTTTATTTAAGCAATTTACTATACCAAAAATTGAAAAAACGCAGAGAAAGGTAGAGGTGCATCAGTGGAAGCGCAAAGCGAGCGAGGTGGAAATTCGAAGCCTCTCAAAGAGAAAACCACGAAAGCCGAAAGGCGGGCTCTTCAAGAAGCTCAAAGAGCAGCTAAGGCCGCAGCAAAAGGTACACTCTTTCTAGGCTTTTATTACATTTCGTGAATCACAAACAATTTTTAATAGAAATGTAATTGAATTCAATGAATTTTATGAATGTCTACCTTGCTTTGTGTTATTAGCCGACGGAAGTAAAACACCTTCTGTTGCTGCCACTGTTACTGCTTCTACTTCGGCAGCAGCGAATGTGAAACCGTCCAAGGCCATGAAACTCGTGTCACAAACATCTGTGGCGTCTTCTGAGAAGAAGGGTGGTGGCGAACGCCTGCCGGAGAAAGAAAGAAAGAAGGAAGTTCCTCATCCACGAATGCAATATGATGATACCAGTCGTGTAGAGAAGGCAAAAAGGCGTTCAGTGGTCAAGCAAACTGAGGCCAGGAATAGGGTTGAGCTGTTCAGGCATTTGCCTCAATACGAGCATGGAACTCAGCTTCCTGATCTCGAGTCTAAGTTTTTCCAACTTGACCCCGTGCACCCTGCTGTTTATAAGGTACATTATATCAGCTTGTTATGGTGTGATTATGACAGAGATCAAAGTGTGAAATTATGGTTCTATCTAATTTTTACTTTCTGTATTAATGTCAGGTTGGGTTACAGTATTTATCAGGAGATATATCTGGTGGGAATGCTCGCTGTATAGCCATGCTTCTAGCATTTCAAGAGGCCATTAAAGACTATTCAACACCACCTGAGAAAAACCTCAGTAGGGATTTGACAGCAAAAATAAGTAGTTATGTTTCATTTTTTATCGAGTGCAGGCCGCTTTCAGTCACCATGGGGAATGCAATTCGGTTTCTGAAGAGCCGAATTGCCAAGTTACCTTTGTCTATGTCCGAGTCAGAAGCAAAAGCATCTCTCCAGTCAGATATTGAACGGTTCATAACTGAGAAGATCATACTTGCAGATAAGGTGATTGTAAAGCATGCAGTTAGCAAAATCAGGGATGGTGATGTTCTTCTAACGTATGGGTCATCCTCTGCAGTTGAAATGTTACTGTTACATGCCCATGAGCTTGGCAAACAGTTTCGTGTTGTGGTGGTAGATTCTCGTCCAAAGCTTGAAGGCCAGCATTTACTTCGTAGGTTGGTGGGAAAGGGCCTCAGCTGTACTTACACTCATATAAATGCTGCTTCCTATATCATGCATGAAGTTACTCGAGTTTTTCTTGGTGCTTCTTCAGTGCTGTCTAATGGAACAGTTTACTCAAGGGTTGGGACTGCTTGTGTTGCTATGGTAGCTCATGCATTCCGTGTACCCGTGTTGGTATGTTGTGAGGCATATAAATTTCATGAAAGGGTACAGCTTGATTCTATATGCTCCAACGAGCTTGGTATGCACTCCTAGCATCAAAAAAATTTATGGTCATTCTGACAGTTTTTGATAAGTCTCCTGCTCTTCTTGCTTGAATTCTTGGGTAATTGTTCCACTTCTTGCAGGTGATCCAGATGCCATTTCAAAGATTCCTGGCAGAGAGGAAATCTATTTGGATGGTCAAGCTAATTGTGAAAATCTTCAACCCCTAAATCTGATGTAAAGTGTTTATCATTTTAGTGATGTGCTTGTTATTGGCAGTTATGACTTATTTTGACTTGTTATTGATTTCCCCTTACTAACTGTGCAGTCCTGTTTTGACTTCTTAATGGCAGTTATGACGCACTTCCTTCAGATTATGTTTCAATGATAATCACGGATTATGGCATGGTAAATCAATTTTTTCTTCAATTATTGTTGCAAGACCTAAAGAGCAGACAATGTTTCACAATTCTTTATGTTCCAAATTTTGAACTTGCATTCTAGTTCTTTATCATATGACTGATGGCTCATGAGATTTCTTTTGTGGATTATCAGTTTTGCCACTTTATCTGGGAAAAAGACTTGATTATTTTGTGGTTATTTTAGGTTCCACCCACAAGTGTGCCCGTCATTGTGCGCGAATACCGAAGAGAACACTTATGGATGTGATCATGAAAGTGCCTCCTCGGAAGTGGATCGTGATTCGTGAGGCTTCTCCAAAATTTTATGTGCATGCTGAAATCAGTGATTCAGTGTCAGCAGCATTTAACAAACGATAAGAGTCTAAGACTAGAGCCAGAAGTTTCTTTTTAGCTTTTGATCTCTCACTGGATTGAGACAATTTCTTTTTTCTTCTTTGGCCATAGATTAGATACAAGTTAGACGCGTAAGTTCTTGTGACAGAAGTTTTGTATGCTGTACTTGCGTGTATATGCACCATGCTTTGCTTTCGCTGGGATTATTATGGGATGCATACTCATGGGTTCCATCTTTTATTTATCTGTCTTCTCTTTTTTTTTCTTCTTCTTTTATGGTTTGGGATCTGTCTTCCTTTCGCAAAGCCACCGGATCATGATTTAAAAACAAAAGCCCAACTCCCAAATCTGCGAGGGTAGAATTGTTTAATGTGGGCAATGAAGTGCCACCATGCGGAGACATGTCAATCGATCATTATTCTTGTACAATTTTACAGGGCAAAACAGAAAAATATAAAGGCTATTACAACAAGCTTTTTCTAAGAAAAAGGAACGCCCAGTTTGATATTTTATTTTTGGTCAATAAGTTGATGTTCATAAGCCAGAATATTCTATGGACCAAAGAACAAAGAAGCCACTTAGCTTGGTGGAAATATTTGTTTGAACAGGTCACGTTCTAAGTGCAGATGAACACAATGGAACCCGCCAAGCATAAATAATGAAGACGCATTGCGAAAAGAAAGATGATGTGAATTAAAATGAAGAACAAACAATGAGAAAGGAGCGGAGCTTTCTTAACCTATAATTGAACAAAGGGAATTGTTACTTTAATACATTAATCTTTTGACAATAACAAAATCCTGTAATCCATATATAGAGTACAATTAGGTCTGCTTGTGAACTATAAGACAGTACAATTGTGCTTACTCTATCGATCCTCTGAGAACGTCGCCTCTATTATTATTGGTGGGAGTAATAACAGCAAGAATCACAAAACCTCCCAGCACAACGACCAATATTCCGAGAGAATTCACCAGCAAAGCCTCAGTTGAATAGCGTGAGATTATGTGGTTGGTTTGAAGGAATGTGGCTTTTTCTAAAATACCCGTAGTTACAGTAACAACAGCAAGGGCATAAGTATAAATACCAACAAACACATGCCATGGCAGTAAGGTAGCTCTGCTATTTTTTGAGCCGCCTGGGTACCAATATGTTACAAAACCAGCAACCCACTGTGCAAAAGAAAATGGGGGTGAAAACCAGATAAAAGTAATTGTAGATAGAAGCTATCTTCTAAGGCTAAAAAAGAAGAAGAAATAGTAACTATGACGGTACCTGGAGGGTGAAGAGGAATAGGCAAGCTAGACCCAACCATGAATGCAGGCTGTAGAAATTGTCAATGCCCTTATCATTGTGGAACTTCAAAGCAGCCCATACGCCAATAATACTTAAACAAAAGGCAAGGAATTGTAGCGTAAGATGAACAAGTTTTTTGAAGCTTTTTGTTCCTGAAACTGTCTTGTATGCTAGCATGGCTGCATCATTGTAGAGATGGTTTTAATTCATAATCATTTTCGGTAAACATATAGGTAGTCCATACAAGCAAAGGAAATAAAGCTATATGCTATCAAGAACAAGATGCACTAAAAATCTACATAACGCTCTCTCATAACTCTCAGAAAAAGCAGGAAAAGAAAAATATCTAAATGCATCTAAAACCCACCAAGAATAGTTCTAACATTCAACTATAGTTACGGAAACTCTTGTAAGTTCGAAGGCAATTGACTAAGAAAGTCCGTGAATCAAATTCTTCAAGTGTAAAAGGTCACTTAGAAACTATATGTGCCTTCACTAACAGTTCGAAACTCATTCTTATAATCCTTCGCATGCTCTACTAAACTCATTGTACTGGCGTATATAATCATCTAAGGCAGTCACGTCAATTTTAAGTCAAGATTACTGGGAGAGAGGAATTATGGAGAAATCAGTAACTAGATACTGGGCCAAGCGCCATAAGAACAGAAAATTTACCTTCTCCATTTAAGAGTATCAGTCCAATCACCATCAACACAGGATGGACCTACAAGTGACAAAACAACCATAAGTTCATGGAACACTAAAAAGTTAAACAATTTAGAGAGAGAGAGTAATGCTCTATAAATTTGTCATGGGAATGAACCAAATGCTTAATTTACAAAGAGGAATTTCTCCTAGATCAAAGAAGCATCAAGTTCCAGCTCAAGATGATAATGAACTATGTAAATTCTAATGTAACAAGTTAAAGATACAAAGTTGTAAAGAAAAGAAACATTTTTGCATATATTGACAGTAATATGAGCATTCAAACAAATTAAGTGATATAACCAGTACCCAGAAGAAGTGAGCTAAATAATCCATCAACCATTTCCGCCCAAAAAATAAGGTTCAAAATGAATTCCCAATAGATATAATGACAATATATGAAAAAATCAAAATTAAAACTTTAAGGAAAAGAAATTGAAAGAAGAAGAGGATTGGGAAGAAACGGACATTGAAAATGAGATCTTTGTTGTCTGAGATGAGAGCCAATCCTCCGCGGAAACGTATGGTCCAGATGAGCACTAGAGCAGCCACTACCACTCCTATCACTCTCACTGCCCTGAAGATCGGGAAGCGGACCACTGGAATCGCCCCCATTACTTCTTCTTCCTTCAGCTCTGAAATCTTTCAGAGATAGAAAATTTAGGGTTCTGGGAAGAAAACAAAAAGGGTTTCTCTAGATTTTTGGGATTTGGATCTGTTTTACTCTGCGGGCTGCTTCTTTAGGGACGAAGGTGATGGCGGACGAAAGAATTTCAGGCTTTCAACTTTTTCAACTGATTGACCAACCTAAAAAAAAACAAAAAAACTGTAAAACTAGGAGGTGACGCGTGGCACTAGTCCACGTCGGACCATACTGCTTTCCTTGTTTATTTATACTGCTATCTTGCTTTCTCTGTGTGTCCATTTTGTTGAGTTTCTTTAGGATGATTTTATTGGCACTCCATTATTTGCTTTTTGCACCATATATTAATTTTAAACATTAATAAATTATTTTATTTTTGTATATAATTACTGTTAAGGATAAAAAAATATTTAAATAAAAATTAAATTTGCTCACTATACCCCACGTATGTTCCTGCAACCCTAGTTAGACTTTTTATTATTATATTTATTTATTTATTATCAAACCATCATGTTCCTACCACCCTAACGAGGTTTATACGCTTATATTAGTGAAAAAATATATTGCATTTATTCATGAAGGTGAGCATGAAGTTAGAGAGGCTTTGAATGAGGTATGAGTTTATTTTTTGGCGTTTTTGAAGTTTAAGATTTTATGATGGTTGATAGTTGCATTCTGCACACCAGTACCGAACGCGATAGGCAAATTTGTGGGATCCCACCGAAACATTGCACTTATTTCGATTGTGTTTGACCAGCCATTAAGTTAAGATGCGGTGGAGATTCATCGTAACATAGAACGGTATTCAGTGGTGTATTACCAAATTTTTACCTACAATTCAGTGGGAACGAACCAAAATATATTTATTTTTTCAATAACTTATTGTCGACTACAAATTTAATGCAAGCTATTTTGACCTTACTCCCATTGAATGAACAAAAACAAGGTGACACCCCTACTGAAAGAAACAATGTTAGAACATAATGTGTAATGGATTTGCACCATTCTTTTGTTGGATGACCATGCCTGATATGGGGCATATTATCGCCACATGTTATAATGTGGTTTTAATTCTTCTAAGCATGCGTCAATGTCTTGCATTTTTTATATTCTCAGTTCAATCAAGTGAAACCAAGCTACATGAGATTGCCATTGGTTTTGTTGATGATGATCACTATGTCCAGATATGAATTTATTTGTTTACGCTACATAGTGTAATTTTATATGCTATACGTATATTAATGAATTCTTGTTTTGTAGGTTTATTTGTCTCCATATCATTCTATTCCACCAGTTTCTAGAATGTGGCATGAACAAAGTGATATATGCAATGTAACATATTTGTACTCAAGGTATCAAGAGCATGTGGATGCGTTTCAACAACTTTAGGGAGTGAAGAATGTAGCTACTACAGATACAATCATCCTAATGACTAACAAAAATGCACCCACTACAGAATTGAGATTATAAATATAATAATTCTATTTATTTTCTTATATTTCTTTTTTGGGTGGGATAAACTTCATAAGGATTTGAATGAATTCTAAAGTTCCAAAGTTCCCTGAGTTCTAATACAAATATGCAATAACTAATCAAAACAACAAAAGTTATATGAGTTCTAATAGAGGCATGCTAGCAAGTCAGTTAGCCATGACGACGTTGATATGTCATGGTAGACCGTATGTTTGTACCCTCTAAAATCTGCTGCAAGGTCTCAATTGCTTGATAAACTTAGGAAGGTCTTGTACACAATGCAACTGTTTCCCCTAATGCCACGAGAGGCCTAGTAAAGGACAACATACGCTCGTCATGCTCTTGTAATGAATTTGAATTCAATGCCTTAGTAAAAAGGACAAAATTGAAAAAGTGGAAGTCATAGCAAATTTATAATTTTACCTTTGAGTCCTCTTCATATCTAAAAAACAATATTAAGTACAAACTCAGTAACGAATTCGATAGATGATCATTGAAACAAGAAACGAATTCAGTAGACTACCACTGAAAAACGGAAACAAATTCGGTGTACTACCACTGAGAAACTGAAACAGATTTAGTGAACTACCACTGAAAAACAAAACACATTCGGTGGACAACCACTGTAAAACATAAACAAATTCGGTGGACTCCCAATGAAACAAGGTAAGTTAAGAAATGAGGTCCATGAGGATAATTTAGGAAGAAAAATGGGGTGTAGTGAGTAATTTTAAATTTTACTAAGATTCAGCGGGATATAAAGAAAATGTGGGGCACAAAGAGCGAATTTTATCTGTTCTTTGAAAAAAAAAAAAAATAAATTGAAAGATTTGGCTCCTCATGGATCTTCCTGTAACCATTAACCAACATGATTATGATATAATTATTTGATTGCTTTGACAACTTGAATTTTAATCTAGATAGACATTATTCCACATTTTCCCAAATTGGGCGAGTGCACCCCATTATTCCACACCATAAAAAGTAAACTATCTGCAGTGGAAAAGCAACTGAGAAAAGGCAAAGTTCCAAATTCCAATCATTAAAGTTCATATTTATACTACAATAAGAGACATTTATATATATATATATATGTACATTGCTCAAATTCATTATCTTGGAAGCCTAAGAAGCAATTACAAGAACTGATCAATCTAGATAGACACAAACCTGTTGATTAAAATACCAAATATCTAGAGTTGATTGATCACTATACTATTTTGGATGGAAATCTAACTGTTATTATCTTCACTTTTTATTATGGTTTCTGGTGTGAGACTAGAGTGTGAAATTGAGGGAGTGGAAGCTGAAATTGGGTTTCTGCTTCTTAGCTCCACATTTTTTCTGGCAAATTGATGCCCCACTGATTCTTTCATAGTCTCAGGTCCATAGACCAACACTTCAATATCAGATCCACCTGTCTCATCTGGAAACTTTGCAAAGATATCCGCTCAATTCAACAAATGTTAGAAACATATCCTAGTCTTGTATGCCAGAACAAGGAATTTTTAATGGTTTGGAACATGGAAAAGATTTCACGGATAAAAAAAGAATCCAAGTACCTTCAAAGTTAGGCTTGCCTCCAAAATGGATTTCATGTTCCTCAAGAGCATCACTTGCTTGTGTTGATCCTTTTTCTAAAGCTTTGCTTTGTTTTTGGAGGGTAGGAGGAATCTGTTTCTTTAGCCTTCTCCATCTTATAACAAGGGCTACAAAGATGCTGCAAATTAATGCCAGAATGAAGGAAGATATGATAAGAAGATCTGCAACCCAAGATGGAGTCTTCTCCTTGGTGGGATTTTTCTGGGAGGGAACAAAAATGGGGTTGAACATAATGAGAAAGATGAGAAACAGGATAGACGAAATTCCAGCTATGGTAGCCATCCAAAGTGAGTTTTCGAGTTCACTGATTGAAAAATTCAAGAACTTTGTGCCAAAGTTCACTGTTTGCACTTGAGAAAACTCGTTTACTAGTTCTCTTACTGTTGCATCAGACTGCTCTTCTTGGGTCACAAAGACTTTAACTTTCAGAAGGCATTTTTCTGCTGGCTGGCCAAATATTAGAGCTGAGATTGAGTTCAGCGGACAAATGTCTTGGGACTTCTTCACAACATATATAAGCTGCATTCTTGGTAGGAATTTGTTTATGCCGCTGTTTTGGGACGAAGCAAGTTCCTGTATGATGCTCAGAACTGGGGTTATTCCAATTCCTCCAGAAACAAGAAGTAGACTATCATATCTGCACAAGATTTCGGATTCATGTTCACCAGATTTTGAGATGCTAATTGATCATCACTGAGCAGTTAAACAATATATATTCTATAATGAAAAGTTAATAGAGACAGATCCATAAGGGCCTTCTAGAGCTGGAAGTAATGCTAAATGAGTGCCACTCATATTTGGAAATACTTGGTACCTTCACAAATATAATGCTTGTTGGTGTATACTTGGGCCCTGCAATTAGTGGAATGTAATGTTTCATATGATTTCAACAATTTTAGAAAACTTCTGGTTAGTAAACAAGGTCTAGAAAAATTACCTGGATCTTTTGGTAGAATAAGCTCTATAGATTTGGAGGGGAAGATTCGTGCTGAAAGAATGCATGTTTCGGGTCTAGATTGTATGATCAGAAGGAGCTTGTCAAGGCCAAACAGAATTTCCAGGGAAACCATGTAGAAGTGACAGTCTCCAGCATGAAACAAGAAGAATACCAGAAAAACCATGTAGAGATGGTGTGTGTAGTAAAATATTTCAAACTGTTTTCTCCGTATTTGAGGAAATGATGTGATCCAAATCACTAACCCTGTGACCAGACAGATCTCCCCTGCAAGGTATATCCGCCCGGTTTTCTGCCATTCCCATATCTGTGACTGAATGAATTGCACCAAAAAGATCAGCAAAACTAAATAATGCCAATACCAAAATAATACAGCAGAGTTAACACCGAGCAGAAAACCAAATGATTGAAAAGATCCAAATGAAAAAGGACTAGGATTTACCTCCTCCTGGATAAAATGGCTGACCCCCCAAATGAACAAAGTGCTTGCACGATGGAAAGTGGCAAAAAATATCATTGCAGTCCCAAGCCATATATGGTGTCTTACAGAAGCTTCAAACTGGATGCCAAGCAACCGAAATAAGGCCAGACCTCTTAATATAGGGAAAAGAAGAAAAGCCAGGCAGACTTCTGCTAGCAAACCAAACCGAGTTTCCACCTTTAGGTACTTGAGTTGCCATCTGAGATACAGTTTAAGCGTCAATCATGATGAAGTTCTTGTTTCTAAAAGTTCGAAATAGAAAACTTTCGGATTTAGAACTCACGAATTCAGCGTTAGTGATTTAGCAAGCTTCAAGTTCTTGAAATCATTTGAGATGCGTGCATAAAAACTCCGAGCTAAGAGCAGGATAAAGAGGAAGACTGGTAGTATTTCTAGAGTGGACAAAACACCCAGAAGGGTGTTCACTACCAATGGATTTGAGAAGCCTGCAGTCAATTTCCTCCCTTTTCTGCTATCAAAATTAAAGCACACAAGTAGAAGTTAAATTGGCATCTTGAGTGATCATAACCCAATGACATAATAACATGCACTACCTTCTTATTGACTCCCTGGCTTCAAATTCAAGAAGAATGATCCAATAATAGCCAAAGCAATAGGAGGAAATGTATACACAGCAAAATTAAGACCTGCAAAATATTCAGTATAGTGTTTGTCTTTCCGCCCATTGGATATAGCAGAAAGCAAAACCAATAAATCCAAATGAAATCTCAATTATGTACCATAATATCCAAACAGTGTAGCCCTTGCTTTATCTTCAGCTGCCTTCCATTTTCTTGTCCATGGCTGGTAGTAACTCCATGTGAATAACCAAGTGATGAGAGAAAGATACTCTCTTATGAGAGCATATAATTCCCATGTTGATGTGTTCCACTTTCTTGCCTGAAATTGGTGTTCACCTGTGTGATGTCTAAAGAGCGAGACTTTCCGCTGAAGTTTTAATTTCACTTCGATGCGTGGAAAAGGGTGCAGATCCTAGAAGAACAAAATATTCTAGATGCAAAGCTACTGAAATCAGTTAACATGCCTGAAAGCCAATAACTGACTTGTATTTCAATAACCTACCCAGCCCAATCAAAAAGTTGTCCAGTCATGTTAAATCTTGACAAGTGGGTTAGTCAGCCATCTTAGAAGTCCGTACCTGATACAATTTTGAAGCAGGAAAATTTCCAATCATGGTCTGCAAAGTTGCCTTGGGGAGATACAATAGTTGCTGCACGCTGAATATTCCTCTTTTGCTTATCGAGTCAGCAAGTTCAACATTCATGCATCGCATCATCCATAAGGAAGAATCCCCATCAAACCAGAAACCCTGAAAAGAACCCAAAAGATATGAGAAGAGGCTAGGAGGTGAAAACTCTACTTTCTTAAGGAACAAATCATCCGGGTCAAAGAGTAATTGTTAAAAATAAATAATTAGATAAATCAAAGCTGCGTCTTTTTCAGAAACAATTAGCGTACCATTTAAGTGCAAGTGCGCCCTACGCAAGTACTACCTGCACGACCATTTGCAGAGGATGCATGCAAGAATACCTGCCCAGGCCGCCTAGAACCGCCTAGAACCGCCCAGGCCGCCTAGGCGCCTTCTAGAGCCGCCTAGATCCGCCCAGGCCGCCTAGCTCGTCTTTTATTCAACGCAAGTACTACCACTAAGAAGTCAGAATTGTAACTACTAAGAAGAATACCCGCACGACCATTTGCAGAGGATGCATGCAAGAATACCTGCCCAGGCCGCCTAGACCCGCCCAGGCCGCCTAGGACCGCCCAGCCCGCCTAGATCACCCCAGGCCGCCTAGGCGCCGCCTAGCTCCCTTATAGCACCAGAGTTGTTATCTTAGTGGAGTTTTCAATAGCTGAATGACATTTGATGGCTGCCCAGGCCGCCTAGACCCGCCCAGCCCGCCTAGAACCGCCCAGCCCGCCTAGGCGCCGCCTAGAACACCCCAGGCCGCCTAGGCGCTGCCTAGATCCGCCCAGGCCGCCTAGCTCCCTTATAACATCAGAGTTGTTATCTTAGTGGAGATTTCAATAGCTGAATGACATTTGATGGTTTTCATAGAGAGAGTCCAATCCAATCCAATCAACGCAGCAGCCGAAACGAAAGAAAAAAAATCGAAGCTTGAGTTGAGAGGGAGAGAGAGGCTCTGTGAAGTTTGTAAACGAAATGGCTGTGTGACTGCGATTGCAAGCGTCGAGTTCGTTTTGAATGAATTTAAAGAGTATTGCCAATTGGCTATACCTTTAAAATATTCGGATGTATTCAAAGAGTGAAGCCGCATGGCTGTACTATTAAAGTAATATATTTAAATAGTATAGCCGAAAATATACAATTTTGTCATGTTATTTTAGGGTTTAGGGCTAAAATACCACTTTTGCTAATTAGGATATAGTTATTTCTTCAATTATTTTATTTATACCCGTGATGTTGGGGAATGAGAATTTAAATTCTTTCCAATACCTCCCATTCTAATGATTTCCAACAACTATCCCATTAGTCTTGAATAAAAAATGAATTTTATTTATAAGAAATAATATGGGTTAAACCCATAAATACAACAACAAAAAATAGGGATCCACCAACATTTTGGACATAAAAGAATCTTGACTTTCATGGTATAAAATTGCTTGTGTAAGAATTTGCTTTCTAAAATGTATCCATCGTAATTATGAACTAAACCCAATGAAAGCAATTTTCTCATTGCACTTGACAACCCTGCTCTTTTGCTATGAGATATATCAATTCGCGTTGTATTCTCTGCAAATGAAAAATTGGATACAAAGCAGTCTAACGAGACAACGAAGAAAAGAGTTTTTAAATAAATTGAAGGTATCAGAGGTCATATGGCATTGTGTTTGTAAAAAATACTAAAACAAAGATATTCATGGTCCAACCACTCCAAATGTTTGTAAAATGTTTGTGTTTTTTTTGCTCACTAATGTATGGCCTTTGTGCTTGCTATGTAATCTTTAGTTAGGCTTGGACCCTCCTGGATTTGGGGCTGTATTGTTCTTTAGTTCTCTGTAAACTGTTCTGTGTATGAATGAATTATCCTCTTTTAGCAAAAAAAAAAAAAAAAAAAAAGAAAAAAAAAAAATTGAATTAGACTTGGCTCCTCCTTTATCTGTTCTTTTTTTTTACATGAAAAATTTAGCTCCTCATGGATCTTCCTGTAACCATTAACCAACATGATTATGATATAATTATTTGATTGCTTTTTGACAACTTGAATTTTAATCTAGATAGACATTATTCCACATTTTCCCAATTTGGGTGAGTGCTCCCCATTATTCCACACCATAAAAGTAAACTATCTGCAGTGGAAGAGCAACTGAGAAAAAGCAAAGTTCCAAACATTAAAGTTCATAATTATACTACAAAGAGACATTTATATATATATATATATATGTACATTGCTCAAATTCAATATCTTGGAAGCCTAAGAAGCAATTACAAGAACTGATCAATCTAGATAGACACAAACCTGTTGATTAAAATAACAAATATCTAGAGTTGATTGATCACTATACTATTTTGGATGGAAATCTAACTGTTATTATCTTCACTTTTTATTCTGCTTCTTAGCTCCGCATTTTTTCTGGCAAATTAATGCCACTGATTCTTTCATAGTCTCAGGTCCATAGACCAACACTCCAATATCAGATCCACCTGTCTCATCTGGAAACTTTGCAAAGATATCCGCTCAATTCAACAAATGTTAGAAACATATCCTCGTCTTGTATGCCAGACCCAGAACAAGGAATTTTTCAAGGTTTGGAACTTGGAAAAGATTTCATGGATAAAAAAAGAATCCAAGTACCTTCAAAGTTAGGCCTGCCTCCAAAATGGATTTCATGTTCCTCAAGAGCATCACTTGCTTGTGCTGACCCTTTTTTCTAAAGCTTTGCTTTGTTTTTGGAGGGTAGGAGGAATCTGTTTCTTTAGCCTTCTCCATCTTATAACAAGGGCGACAAAGATGCTGCAAATTAATGCCAGAATGAAGGAAGATATGATAAGAAGATCTGCAACCCAAGATGGAGTCTTCTCCTTGGTGAGATTTTTCTGGGAGGGAACAAAAATGTGGTTGAACATAATGAGAAAGATGAGAAACAGGATAGAGGAAATTCCAGCTATGGCAGCCATCCAAAGTGAGTTTTCGAGTTCACTAATTGAAAAATTCAAGAACTTTGTGCCAAAGTTCACTGTTTGCACTTGAGAAAACTCGTTTACTAGTTCTCTTACTGTTGCATCAGACTGCTCTTCTTGGGTCACAAAGACTTTAACTTTCAGAAGGCATTTTTCTGCTGGCTGGCCAAATATTAGAGGTGAGATTGAGTTCAACAGACAAATGTCTTGGGACTTCTTCACAACATATATAAGCTGCATTCTTGGTAGGAATTTGTTTATGCCGCGGTTTTGGGACGAAGAAAGTTCCTGTATGATGCTCAGAACTGGGGTTATTCCAATTCCACCAGAAACAACAAGTAGACTATCATATCTGCACAAGATTTCAAATTCAAGTTCACCAGATTTTGAGATGCTAATTGATCATCACTGAGCAGTTTAACAATATATATTCTATAATGAAAAGTTAATTTTTTATGCACCTTAGAAGTCCATAGAGACAGGTCCATAAGGGCCTTCTACTGCAATAGGTATGTACTTCTTCGGATCGCCATCCGACTCTTGCCTAGTTTGGATCATATGGGAGAGAGAACTTGTCCACGATCCTTCGGATTTGATCATTACAGATATTGTGTTGTCATCAACCCTAGAGCTGGAAGTAATGCTAAATGAGTGCCACTCATATTTGGATATACTTGGTACCTTCACAAATATAATGCTTGTTGGTGTATACTTGGGCCCTGCAATTAGTGGAATGTGATGTTTCATATGATTTCTCCAATTTTAGAAAACTTCGGGTTAGTAAACAAGGTCTAGAAAAATTACCTGGATCTTTTGGTAGAATAAGCTCTATAGCTTTGGAGGGGAAGATTCGTGCTGAAAGAATGCATGTTTCGCGTCTAGATTGTATGATCAGAAGGAGCTTGTCAAGGCCAAACAGAAAAATTCCAGGGAAAAGGAAAACCATGTAGAAGTGACGGTCTCCAGCATGAAACAAGAAGAATACCAGAAAAACCATGTAGAGACGGTGTGTGTAGTAAAATATTTCAAACTGTTTTCTCCTTATTTGAGGAAATTATGTGATCCAAATCACTAACCCTGTGACCAGACAGATCTCCCCGGCAAGGTATATCCGCCCGGTTTTCTGCCATTCCCATAGCTGTGATTGAATGAATTGCACCAAAAAGATCAGCAAAACTAAATAATGCCAATACCAAAATAATACAGCAGAGTTAACACCGAACAGAAAACCAAATGATTGAAATGATCCAAATGAAAAAGGACTAGGATTTACCTCCTCCTGGATAAAGTGGCTGACCCCCCAAATGAACAAAGTGCTTGCACCATGGAAAGTGGCAAAAAATATCATAGCAGTCCCAAGCCATAAATAGTGTCTTACAGAAGCTTCAAACTGGATGCCAAGCAACCGAAATAAGGCCAGACCTCTTAATATAGGGAAAAGAAGAAAAGCCAGGCAGACTTCTGCTAGCAAACCAAACCGAGTTTCCACCTTTAGGTACTTGAGTTGCCATCTGAGATACAGTTTAAGCGTCAATCATGATGAAGTTCTTGTTTCTAAAAGTTCGAAATAGAAAACTTTCGGATTTAGAACTCACGAATTCAGCATTAGTGATTTAGCAGGCTTCAAGTTCTTGAAATCATTTGAGATGCGTGCATAAAAATTCCAAGCTAAGAACAGGATAAAGAGGAAGACTGCTAGTATTTCTAGAGTGGACAAAACACCCAGAAAGGTGTTCACTACCAATGGATTTGAGAAGCCAGCAGTCAATTTCCAACCTTTTCCGCTATCAAAATTAAAGCACACAAGCAGAAGTTAAACTGGCATCTTGAGTGATCATAACCCAATGACATAATAACATGCACTACCTTCTTATTGACTCCCTTGGCTTCAAATTCAAGAAGAATGATCCTATAATAGCCAAAGCAATAGGAGGAAATGTATACACAGCAAAATTAAGACCTGCAAAATATTCAGTATAGTGTTTGTCTTTTCCCCCCTTGGATATAGCAGAAAGCAAAACCTATAAATCCAAATGAAATCTCAATTATGTACCATAATATCCAAACAGTGTAGCCCTTGCTTTATCTTCAGCCGCCTTCCATTTTCTTGTCCATAGCTGGTGGTAACTCCATGTGAATAACCAAGTGATGAGAGAAAGATACTCTCTTATGAGAGCATATAATTCCCATGTTGAGGTGTTCCACTTTCTTGCCTGAAATTGGTGTTCACCAGTGTGATGTCTAAAGAGCGAGACTTTCCGCTGAAGTTTTAATTTCACTTCGATCCGTGGAAAAGGGTGCAGATCCTAGAAGAACAAAACATTCTAGATGCAAAGCTACTGAAATCAGTTAACATGCCTGAAAGCCAATAACTGACTTGTATTTCAATAACCTACCCCGCCCAATCAAAAAGTTGTCCAGTCATGTTAAATCTTGACCAATGGGTTAGTCAGCCATGCGTCAACTATCTTAGAAGTCCGTACCTGATACAATTTTGAAGCAGGAAAATTTCCAATCATGGTCTGCAAAGTTGCCTTGGGGAGATACAATAGTTGCGGCACGCTGAATATTCCTCTTTTGCTTATCGAGTCAGCAAGGAAGAATCCCCATCAAACCATAAACCCTGAAAACTCTACTTTCTTAAGGAACAAATCATCCGAGTCAAAGAGTAATTGTTAAAAATAAATAATTAGATAAATCAAAGCTGCGCCTTTTTCAGAAACAATTAGCGTACCAGTTAAGTGCAAGTGCTGCATATTGTCCTTACAGACAAAAAAAAATATATATATATATATATATATATCTCTAGCTAATCAACCCATATGCTGGATGTAGAATGTAATAATATAAACAAGGCAGAATGCCCAATTCGCACAAGCACTCGTCTTTTATTCTACGCAAGTACTACCTGCACGACCATTTGCAGAGGATGCATGCAAGAATACCTGCCCAGGCCGCCTAGATCACCCCAGGCCGCCTAGAGCCGCCTAGATCCGCCCAGACCGCCTAGCTCATCTTTTATTCTACGCAAGTACTACCACTAATTAGTCAGAATTGTAACTACTAAGAAGAATACCCGCACGACCATTTGCAGAGGATTCATGCAAGAATACCTGCCCAGGCCGCCTAGACCCGCCTAGGCTTCCTAGAACCGCCCAGCCCGCCTAGATCTCCCCAGGCCGCCTAGCTCCCTTATAGCACCAGAGTTGTTATCTTAGTGGAGATTTCAACAGCTGAATGACATTTGATGGCTGCCCAGGCCGCCTAGACCCGCCCAGGCCACCTAGAACCGCCTAGCCCGCCTAGGCGCCGCCTAGATCACCCCAGGCCGCCTAGAGCCGCCTAGGCGCTGCCTAGATTCGCCCAGGCCGCCTAGCTCCCTTATAACATCAGAGTTGTTATCTTAGTGGAGATTTCAATAGCTGAATGACATTTGATGGTTTTCATAGAGAGAGTCCAATCCAATCCAATCCAATCCAATCAACGCAGCAGCCGAAACGAAAGAAAAAAAATCGAAGCTTGAGTTGAGAGAGAGAGAGAGAGAGAGAGAGAGAGAGAGAGAGGCTCTGTGAAGTTTGTAAGCGAAATGGCTGTGTGACTGCGAGTGCAAGCGTCGAGTTCTTTTGGAATGAATTTGAAGAGTATAGCCAATTGGCTATACCTTTAAAATATTCGGATGTTTTCAAAGAGTGGAGCCGCATGGCTGTACCATTAAAGTAATATATTAAAATAGTATAGCCGAAAATATACAATTTTGTCATGTTATTTTAGGTAAAATACCACTTTTGCAAATTAGGATAGAGTTATTTCTTCAAATATTTTATTTATACTAGTAATGTTGGAGAATGAGAATTTAAATCCTTTCCAATACTCAGACCAAAAAAAAATCCTTTCCAATACCTCCCATTCTAATGATTTCCAGCTACTAGCCCATTAGGCAAGAATAAAAAATGGATTTTATTTATAAAAAATAATACGGGTTAAACCCATAAATACAACAACAAAAAATAGGGATCCACCAACATTTTGGGGATAAAAGAATCTTGAATTTCATGGTATAATAGAAACACATTTGGTGGATAGCTACTGTAAAACTGAAACAAATTCGATGGACTCCCACTGAAACTAGGTAAGTTAAGAACTGAGGTTTATGAGGGTAATCTAGAAAAATAAATGGGGTATAGTGAGTAATTTTAAATTTTACTAAAATTCAGTAGGGTGTAAAGAGAATGTGGAGTGCAAAGAGCAAATTTGGGGGTGCTAATAAAATCACCCTTTCTTTTAATCTTTAGTTATTACAACTACATCCAAATTTTTATTAAAAATTTAAAACTTCTTTTTTGTTTTTTGTCAAAAAAATTTAAAAGTACTTGGAAGTGACTTGTGGAAAACACTTCTTAGGGTTCGTTTGGGAGTCAGAATTACTTATGGGGAGAAGTACCTTACATGTGCTTGCTTTATAAAATCATTTAAACCACTTAAAGTGATTCTCTATAAAAGTGATTTTTGATACATCTAGAATCATTCTCAAACAAGCCATAGGCTAGAATTACTTATGTTAAGAAAATACCGGGTAAAGCCTCCCAACTATACTATTTTTATAAAAAAAAATAATGGAAAAACATGTATAGCCACCACGCTATACTAATTTTTAAATAAAATTAGAAAAAAAAACCGAGTATAGCCGCTTGGAAGTACTATTTCTAAAATAAATTTGGTAAAAACCGAGTATAGCCGGTCGGCTATACTAATTTTCGAAAAATATGAACCACTGTTCTAACCTTTCTAAGAGAACGGATTAATCTTCATAGGAATCTTTGGATCTACCATATGAACCACCTTTGGCTACGATATTTTCTCTTATTCTTCCTTCTTTTTGTGTAAAATTTGTATTTTATAACTATTGTGCATGAATTGTAATAATTTGAGAAAATTTTGATAAATCACATCAACATGTCATGTGGATATGTACACAAGCAATAAAATAACTTCTCAAGTGAGTTAGCGAATTACTAGAGTATTTTCATGATCACTCATTTATTGATTCAATTTAGCACCCTGGACATAAATTTGTTTTGGTAAAGCTCTATAAACATAATATTTTAAACGTATAGCCACACGGCTATACCCTTGAAATATCATAATCTGAATTTCTCTTTTTTAATTACATTATTTAGTAGTTATGTTTTAAGTTATTATTTACTTAGTGAATCATTAATATTTAAGTATTTTATTAAAGAAAAAAAATAAAAAACCAATTACTATTTATTAAGTAATATATTTATGAATTTAATTAAAACATTTAATACTAATTATTCACAAAATAAATGATGATTAAAACATAATTACTAACTAGCCTCTCTGCACGTGCTTCCGCGCTGCGAGATGCCTTTTTTTTTAATTTTAATTTATTTTAGAATTAAATAAGATAATGGGTAGTTGTGTTCCATAAAAATATGATTCATTATCTGATTTTTCTTTTAATTTTAATTTTTTTAAGATGAAAAAGTGTGAATTTACCATATTATCCTCATTTAATTAATAATTTTAATTTTTAATGTTTAGATTAACCAAGGGCCTTTTAAGATATTTTGAATGTTTCACCATTCTCTACCTTTTGCTTTATATATATAGATGAAAGTAATTAAATAAGGCTAAGATTTTATTGAATTACTAAATTGAAAATTGAAAATAAAAATTTACTGACCTAAAGATACTAAGCTTATACTTATTATTTTAAAAAATCTCTCTCGATGAACTTTCGTCGACATAGGTCTATCTCGGCCCAATTCTGCTGGATTAGACCTCTCCCGACGACATTTCGTCGGCATAGGAAACTTTCCTCAGGAGAGGTCTAATTCGGCAAATAATTTCCGGCATAGACTTGTGCCGACGAAATGCCGTCGCGATTGGAACTCTTTATGTATTTATTTTTAAAATATAAAATTAGTTTCTTTACTTTTATTTTTTGCCCAACTTCTTTAATTTAATATATATACTAGCCAGCATGCGCTAATTGGTTTTCTTTTCTCTTTTTTATTTTATTTTTAGAATTAAAAAAAAGGATAATATGGGCGGTTATGTTCCATAAAAGTTGGATCTATTATTTTGTTTTGTTTTTAATTTTAATTTTTTTAATATAAAAAAGTGAATTGACCATATTATCCTCATTTAATTAATAATTTCAATTCTTAATGTTTGAATTAACCAAGGACATTTTCTAGTATTTTGAATGTTTCACAATTATCTGCCTTTTGCTTTATATATATATATATATAGATTAAGTAATATCTTAGCCTTTTTTAATTACTTCAATTAGTAATTATACTATTATTCGAATATAGACGTGCCGCTATACTTTTTAAATATTCGAATATATTTAGGAAATATGACACGGGGCACTTGAAAAATAAGCAACGTCATTATATCACTTCTCATACTTGTGCAACACATAAACAAGGCATAAATTTATCTCAACCCTAAGCGCACACAGAGGAACAAAGCTAGAACGTAAACACATATCATGTCTAATTGATTCATTATCTCAAGGCTCATATTTGCTATAGAGAAATCCAGATTTTTGTTGTTATATTTAAAGAGTATAGCCGCTTGGATATACTCGTAAAATAGAATATTTTAAAAGTCCAGTCGCTCGGCTATACTCTATAAACAGAACATTTAAGGCTATAAGACATAAACAGAATATTTTAAAAGAGAGTATAGCCGCCTGGCTATACTGCATAAATATAATATTTTGAAGAGAGTATCGCCGCTCGGCTATTCCGTTTTCTAAAACGTTCATAAAACAATTCGAGACCCTTCCTTGATATGTAGTCGAAGCGATGAATGTCCAGATCAATCTCAAAGTAGTTAGGACCCGGCATGTGAGAGAGCTTGATAAAGTCAAACATGGTTTTTATGTGTCATCTTCTTAACACTCAGCAACATAAATGTTCAATGTTTACCCTGTAAAATATGTGCTGGGGGCATGAAAGAACTGGTTTGTCATTATATACATGTACAAGCTTCTTCTCGGCAGAACTCCGACCGATATCCTCAGGAGTTACCACCCCAGCCAAGATCTTTAGTCTTTCTCTAAAAGGAACAGTGGAGTCCTTTGCAAATCCTTTTAACTTTTTCTGTCTCCTCTTCAACCATTTTCTAAAAGCAATCAATTCTTTCATCATGAGACTTTCAGTAATTTATGGCTCAAACGCTAGGCCAGTTAACCAACTTAACACTTGGAAATTATTAGAATCAAAAGGATGACACACGGAGGTCTCTATGTTTAATGAGTATGGTGGCACCATCAGAAAGCACCTTGGTTAGAAGACTGGTAACTTGAAGCACTACACTAGTTATTCAATCAATTTGTAGATGAAAATTTGTGCAATCATCATAAAAATCAAATGTCTGATTCAAACATTCACAAACAAAGTGGGATGTCTCTTTCCCAGTCCCATAGATAAGCCACTTATCTATATTAAGCCCCAAATCTTTAGTTCTGAATCACTAGAAC